CTAACTCTCTTTCCTGTCCCCTTTCCCCCACCAGTCATCAGACAAAAATATGCCAATAAAATTTCACTAAAAGAGATCTGTTTGCTTCACATCTTTTAGTTGTCCTTACGTGTTTCCATGTGCATAATTTGATCTTAAAATCAAAAGTGTATAACACCAATAGAAAAATTTAAAAAACTGCATTTAAATGAACATTATTTCCCCTCCAATTTTATGCAACTGAATAGATTCCCAGGTGAGTTATGAAATACTCTGGATATCAGTTATTTAAAACAATAGTATTTCTTTTTGCAGTTTTTGGCCGGGGCTGGGTTTGAACACGCCACCTCCGGCATATGGGGCCAGCACCCTACTCCGTTGAGTCACAGGCACTGCCCTAAAACAATAGTATTTTATAAGTTAAAAGCACCACTGTTATGGTTACAGCTAGTGTATTAAATATACTACCAAGTCTTAAACACTTATCCTGATGGAGTAATTAATTATGCTTGTATCACCTGTGAGATCAGCCATGCTCTCTGCTAGTGAACAGCAAGTTGCATAGAATAATTGTCAAATTTCAAATTATAGGTGCCAAGTGAGGGTGACCTTAGACTTCTGTTAGTCATTGATAATACATTTTTTTTCACCAAGGAGCCTAACGACTAGTAGAATGATTGACTCTCATTTCTTTACCTTACCCACTTGTTTTATTAGTAAAATTGTCAACTACGAGAAAGTGCATTGCCTTTACAATCTACGCACCTATATTTATAATTGGGTATTGTAAATTATTTATTAATCTTGAGTTCAAATATATACTTTTAATCTATAAAGCTATTAAGCTATATATCTGACATTCTGAAAACAAAAGGACCACTCAAAGGGGTTTTGATGAATAATACAGCAGCTATGAGTGTCTGATAGAGAACTTTCTACCAAATCTCAGTGTTCTTAAATTACAAATATACTCCAAACGACAGAAAATCTGAAGAATTCACTGGAGGTGGAGCTGTTCATTCTGACCTCTTCCTTGCAAATTTGTATTGGGTTTGGTACTATTTTCCCCCAAACCATTCTTATAATTAAAATGCATTTCCAAATATGGGAAAATCATTTAGTTATTTCTTTTAAAAACCAGAGTGGAACATAATCCATTTCAACTTCTGAGAGCCCATTTTCCCTTAAGGGAGTGGGTAAATGAATTCCTCTTTTTTTTTTTTTTTTTTTCATTTTACACTAGCAAAACAAATAAAGTTCACGGTTACCACCCGAAATACACAGACTTCATTGTGTAAGGGCCATATAGCATGGTAGTAGTAGAAATAGAAACTTGCGTGTGTTCAGGTAATACACGTGCCCTTCTTACTGACTTTAACATCTGTTGAAATGAAATGGCTATTTAACTAAATTCACAAAATGGAGATGCTCTTTTTGGCATTTTAAAAGATAAAGCCTTAGTCTACTGAGGTTCTTTGTCTCAAAACTTCAATAAGAAGAGGAAAAAAACCATAGGTATATTGTTTAAAAAGTGATGTTTGGGGGCTGATGACTTGCATCCATTCTCATGAAGAATAATTTTGACTTGTTCTGTTTTGAAGCATCATAGAAACGTCCAGATTTTAGGAAACATACTGTTAACTGACAACTGAATCCTCCACTTTTCATTTGATTGACCTGTCTTTTATAAACACCACTTGGGTACAGTGTATTACATTTTTTCTCTGGGACATTAACACAGTGTAACAATCATGAGATATTGCAGGTTGCTGGTGTAAAATGCGGACATGACCCCATCACTCTCAATCTATCTCCTTCTATTTCCTCTGGATCTATAACTCAAATTCATCTTAGGGAAATACAGTACTTATGATGGAGATATAAAGCTGCACATTTGTTTATTTTTCTCAGGTGAAGATAATTATTTTGAATATTTTCCTTTTTAGTGGAAAGGCTGATCTCACATTAATTATGTAGTATAATTCAAAATTAGTGCACTGTACACATCAACTCTAATGGTAAATAGAGTGGGATTTACTAAAACAGTCAGTATTAAATATATGGGCTCAAATAAACTGGATACTTCAGTTTTATATTGTAGAAATCTAAATTTGGCATCATAGTCTTAGATATTTTATATCTCATTAACTAGTAGAAACAAAAAGAATTTGCCAAGCATTTCCAGAAATATTACAGAAAGGGGCTACCTCCTAAAACAGGCATTTATTCTGGGCCCAATTAACTATGGCAAAAATTTAATTTTAAGGTTTATAGCTAATTAATTCTGCTATGGTACATTATTTTAAATGTACTAGCAAATCTATTTTTTTCAAGGAAAACTTTACTACCAGAGTCACACTTGGCTGCAGGAATATTCTAACACCTTGTGAGATTTGAATTATGAGCACCGATTATTTTAATTTGCATCCAATTAATTCTGTTTGTGTTCTAATTTCAACTAAAAACCCTTCAATTCATCAATGTTCTGAAGCTTGTATCTTCAATGAATTAAATGTATCTATTGCCATGAAAGGGGTATTCAAGCAGCATAAAGTAAGAACCATGTTACAAAAATTAATTGGCTTTCACATTTTGATAACTAAATCTTCTTTTAATTGCCTACCTAGGCTTTTTTTCCCCCTTTAATTTGGAAGCCAGTCTTTTGGCAACTTTTAAAGTTAATGATTTTGAAATACAATGTGTGACATAGAAGTGAAAAATACAACCTGTTTCTGAAAGCGCCTTGAAAAGGAAGGTGTGTGTATGTGTGTGTGTGTGTGTCAAGCACTGAAGCCCAAGTTGAAAAGCAGAAAAACAAAGCATAAGAGACATTATAAGAAGAGCATGAGGGGCACGGCGGCTCAGGCCTGTAATCCTAACAGTCTGGGAGGCCGAGGCAGGTGGATTGCCTGAGCTTACAGGTTCAAGACCAGCCTAAGCCAGAAGGAGACCTCCTCTCTAAAAATAGCTGAGTGTTGTGGTAGGTGCCTGTAGTCCCAGCTATTTGGGAGACTTAGGCAAGAGAATTACTTGAGTCCAAGAGTTTGAGGTTGCTCTGAGTTATGACTCCACAGCACTCTACTGAGAGTGACAAAGTGAGACAAGCATTAGGGGCAAAGGAATTGAGCCAGGGTATTTATATCCTTCTTTAAGAAGGGGAAAATGAATGTAGACTTCATGCCAAAAAGAAATACCAAGTAACAACAAAACACCCATTCGCCACATGTTGGTGGGTAGTGGTGCCACTGCTTTCGATTTAGAAGGCGTGTGCAAAATGAAAATCTCACATATGATTTGGCAAGCAAAGGCTAATGATCAGTCTAAACAAAAGAAAAATACTTGCTCCTCATTTGGCATGAACCCCAATTTTTTTAAAACAGGTTTATTCAGTGTGTTCTTTTACTTAAAAAAAAAATCCATCCAAGTTCCTCTGTTGTCAAGAACCAACACTTAAAAATCAAGTGACAAAATGAACATCCAACATATTTTGGAGAAAATAAGGACCACTGGAAGAACGTTGCTTTATACAAGAGCCTAGAAAGTCCTAAGTTGTTTAATAAGGGTATTATATAAAATATCTATATTTCTAAAAAGCCATCTAAATACACCCTTGTTGGAGGAGACCCATCAATGCTGCCAATTTTATTACTGTTGAAAACGGGTCATAAAATCACCTGTCCTAATTCTGAGATATTTGTGATAAGACTCATAATCCAAATAATACTTCAAATTTTCATCTAAACTGTAAGAGCATAAGAGAAGCTTCTGTAGGGAAAGCTCAGCACACACCAGATTAGAATAATGTACATAAATAGCATATACTTACCAGTTCTCGTGGACCATATGGCTCGCAGAAGGTGACAGCGTTGCCATGCATAATTGCGCCACACTGTTCTCCGGTCTCACAGTTGTTACATTCAACCCTGCAGGAACACAGAGCAAAGTCCTGTCTGAGAACCAAGCAGCACCCGTGGTTCACTGCTCAGGTAAGAAAAGATGTAAGAGTGACCATTCCTCGGTTCAAATCACCATTCTGAGGAAGGGAATGATATTTTATATTGGGACAAAGGGGACAAAGTTAAAAAGACTGGAAACCAGAAAGACTTCAATGTAAATCCCAATTCATTCAGCTACTCACTATAGTGGCCAAGTTACTTAACCTCCTGAAGGTTCGGTCTCCTCACCAAAAAAAAAAAAAAAAAAAAAAGAGGATAACAATGGTGACCTAAAACTCGTGTAGTTATTGTGAGGAGGAGATGGCATATAAAACACACAATACAGAATCAATCTCATCCTGGGCAGTTAATAATACAAGCTGGTATCATTATCAATAATTACATATAGCTATATATATATATATATGACTGATACAAGGGTGTTTGCAAATATTAAAAATAAGCAATGTCCTTTTCTCCTGTAGGTCCTCGTGAATGATGTCTAAATGGGCAAGTTCATGAAATCTGGGGAAGTGGTGCTGGTCCTGGCTGGATGCTATTCCAGATGCAAAGCCATCATCATGAAGAACATTAATGACGGCACCTTGGACCGCCCCATAACCATCCTCTGGTGGCTGGAATTGACCATGATCCCCACAAAGTAAGAGCTGCGATGTGCAAGAAGACTGCCAAGCAATCAAAGATCAAGTCTTTTCTGAAAGTTTATAACTACAATCACCTGATGCCCACTAGGTGCTCTGTGGAGATCCCCTTTTTTATGGACAAAACTGTTTCCATAAGGATGTCTTCAGAGACCCTGCTCTTAAACTCAAGGCCCCACAGGAGGCCAAGGTCAAGTTTGAAGAGAGGTACAAGACACGCAAGAATAAGTGGTTCTTCCAGAAGCTGCGGTTTTATGCGTTCTTCATTTCAGTCATTAAAAATTAAAAAAGAAAAAGCAAAGTAATATCTACTTATATGACGCACTCAAAACCTGCATCTCTGAAATCCAAAGATTTTGACAAATTTTAAACATTTTTGCTTTTGAGCTATGGTCAGTCTTAATGTTTAAAATAACCATCCAACGTGCAGCTAATTAAGCAGACAATGCTCCTTTCTGCATGGGGGCCTGGTGTGCAATGGCTGTGAACAGCAACTTCATTGGTAGTGTATGCCCTGCTGCACGTATAGGTTGCTCTAAGGCACCTTGGAGACATTCCTTTCTAAGACATGTTCATGTGATAGACCTTGTGCTGTCTCCAGTCTAGGCTCCAGACAGGTGTGCATGGTGCCTTTGGAAAGCCCCAGGGTACTGTGGCCAGGGTTTACATTGGCCAAGTCAACATGTCCATCCATACCAAACTACAGAACAAGGGGCATGTGACCGCAGCCCCCTGCAGGACCAAGTTCAAGTTCCCTGGCCACCAGAAGAGTCACATCTCCAAGAGGTGGAGTTTTACCAACTTTAACTCAGATGAATTTGAAGACATGGTGGCTGAGAAGTAGCTCATCCCAGATGGTTGTGGGGTCAAATACATCCCCGATGATGGCCCCCTGGACAAAGGGCAGGGGCTGTACTCATGAGGACTTTTACTGTGTCACCTATCATTTGTGCCTACCAATAATAAGTCCTACTTCCTGTTCACTTAAAAAATGAATAAATAAAATAACTGTCCTCAAAAAATTTGTATGTACAGATTCCACCATGCTAAAAATAAAGAAATAAGCAACATTATCCTAAGTGAAGGATCTAAAGCATGAAAAACAAACACACATGCACTTGCTGTTAAATTGGAACTAACCAATGAGCACACATGTGTACAGAGGAAGTAAAACTCAGTAGAAACCATGCAGGAGAGAGGAGGAGCTAGGGATGAAAAAAAATTAAATAGTTTTAAAAGTTTAATTATATGATAACAAAAGTAAAAAACTTAACAAAGTGCATTTTTTTTTTTTTTTTTTTTTTTGCAGTTTTTGGCTGGGGCTAGGTTTGAACCCGCCACCTCTGGCATATGGGGCTAGCGCCCTACCCCTTTGAGCCACAGGCACTGCCCACAAAGTGCATGATTTTTGATGTTAGCATAATGCAATGATTAAGCAATCTATTCACTCTTTACACCAAAGGCAAGTCCTTTTTGAGTGATTCGCAAATTTGTTCAAACTTTTAACCATATTCTATAATCTGCTCATATCATAGACAAAAATGTGAAAATCTATCTAATTTGTTCTATGAGAAAAATAAGATTATTTAAAAAACTACTAAATAGTATATGTACAAATAAATAAGGCTAACACCAAAAAGATCTCTTTTGATCTACATATTAGTATTAAATATATACAAATTCTAATGTAAGCAAACTTTGAGTAGTGAGCTATTATGATAATCTTGTAGATAATATAAAGCTACTATCTTTATTACCATAAAAATGAAGTGGTTAATAAAACCTTAGGACAGGATCCCAGAATAAATTTATTCATGCCGTTACCTAGTAGAAGTTGAAGCTATGCACAGTCTGGATTTGACCTTGTGTTTGTACAGTTACATTTACAATGTTCTGCACGGTGACATTTCTACCTACAATCATTACATGCCTGACGTGTAGGAAGAAAGAGCTATGTTTCCCCTGTCTGAACCCCAAACCACATGAGGGCTGTGTTTCATGCGGAAAGAACATTTTCAGAGACTTTCACGTTCCAGCTCCCAAACATTAAGGAAAGGGCACTATGCCCTTGTTTTGAAGACTGTTTTTTGCCCAATCATCTGTTTGTTAATTTCAGAAAGAAGGCATAGGAACTCCCATCCAGGCAGGAAAAAGACAAAAGTGTGACGGGAGCCCACAAAGCCAGGGGGCAGAAGTGTAATAAGTAAGTGAAAACTCGGCAAGTAAACGTAAGTACTCCCTGTATGTTTAGCTCATGGAGGAAATGATTGGAATTCTAATCTTTTGAGCTGTGTTTCCACACAAGGAAGGAAACAAGGCCAAGGAACTTTACCTTTTTAAAGGAAATACAAAAAGAATTTTTGATATGGAACCTGAAATGTTAGTATCTCACAGCCTCACACATCTTAGTGGGAGATTTAAATCGTCTCTTATTTACTGTGGAGCAGAATTGTAATAAAATGTCCTTGACATTAGAAGAAAGATAACAGTAGCTTCTTAAGGACAACCAACCTGCCTCTTGTTCGTCATTTGTGGCCTGTTGTTCCTTTATGGCATGTTGTATTCCATGAATATTTGTTGAACAAATAAATGAATATAACCCAACTTCATACATATAACTATTTTTAAGGCTGGAGGTCTAATTTAGAATAGTGCCCGGTACACAGTAAGCATAATGTAAGTGTTAGCTGCTATTATTATTATCAATTTCTCATAAATTTCTACCATTGTCATCTCATCCAGAACTGGAATATTAGGTTTTTTCACCTCCACGGGGAACCTATTATCACATGAGCAACTTATTGCTATTTTTACAATTCTTTAAACTGATTATGATTGTGATAAAAATACAGAGAAGTACCACAAAAATTATAGCGGGCTTCATGAGTGACAGATGAGGATTATTTGGTTTCCAAGTTATTGTGACAAGGCTTGAGAGAAACATCAGCTTTAACAAAGAAAGAAGAATGTGTGAATCTCACAATGGCTCTCTGCCATTGCCTCTCGTAACTTTAAAAGTGTCATTGTTGATGTGAAATTTGGGAACTGCTTTATAGATATCATTCTATCTATAAAAATTGATCATCACTTTCTAAATCAACCATATATCAAAAATATATATATATATGATCTATGTATTATAGGCTCCCTTCTTCCATAGCTTTAATTCAGGTAACTGTACCTTGTTTAAAGGTAATGGCCTTTGATCTTGAATTAGAGAATCACTGAACAGACAACAGATGTTTGATATGTTTGGAGAATCACTTCTATTTTGTGAAATAACAAACATGAAAAAAAAGAAAAGAAAAGAGCAAATATATCCACATATTCTTCCCATTTGGCCGAACAACTACTCTGGACCTTTCTTTTATTCATTGTGCTTTCTATCTCCAGAAATTTAAAATAAAATTTACAAAGGCATTGGCACCTTATTGAAGAAACTAAAAGATTTCTAATTTTCAGATATTACCCACCAGGTTGCTATTTGGAAAAGCAATGGCTACCCCAAGGATTGATGGGACAGATCTGTCAGATCCCTGCCAAGGTCTTTTAAATGTCCTTTGCTTGAATTTCTCACAGTCTGACTGGGTTTGTCAACATAATTTATTTTAATTTACCCTGAATGCCCATCCCTCTAGGTGGTCAAATCCAGTCCTCTCTTAGCTGCCAGTGGTGCCATTTATTCATTCATCATTTATTAATTCATTCTGGTATTTAAGAAACTTATTTATGTTAAGTCCTTACAGGCCCTAGTTAAGCTTTAGTGGTATGAAGCTAAATAAAATACTGCCCCTCTCTTCCAGGAGCTTACATTCCAAATGGAAAGGCAGAGAAGTAAACAATTACAACTGAGGATGTCAATGCAATGATTGCTAGTTACTGCATCCCATTATGTGCCAGGTACTCTAATGCCCCACAGATGTGGGGAACCTGAGGCCTCAAAGCCACACGTGGCCCTCCAGATCCCAAAGTGTGGCCCCTCAGCCAAACCCAAACTTCACAAAACAAGATTAGTTCTGCAAAATTTGGATTCAGTCAAAAAGTCTCTTTCAAGAATCCAGAAGGCCACAAGTGCCCCAGGGTCACATGTTCCTCATCCCCGGTTAGACCTGAAGCTCGACAGCTCCAACACTCATGACACTTTTCATTGCTCCTTACGCATACAGCAGGGTATACGCTGATTATGATGACACCAAATCCAGATTGGGAAGTAAGGGAAAGCTGCCAAAGGAGGGAGCCCCGGAATCAGTCCTGAATGAGAGACAGGCATTACTCAAACAAGGAAAAAGTGAGTGTGTGACAGAGCAGGGGGTTCAATGCGTCAGCACACTGTACATGTAGAAAGATTGCGGGCGGGGGCTAGAAAGTGGGGACCAGTTCACAGAAGGCAGCGTCCGCACCTGCCAAGTCATAGGTACTGATAGGAGCTCCACAAACAATGCTTCAACCAATTCCTATAAAACCCCCTCTCTTTCTTTTTTATTCTTATTTAGAGGATATGACTGAAATTTAGAGATGTAATTGTCCAAGCTTTCACAGCCAGTAAACTGCAGAACTGGATTCAAACTCCCATTATTCAGTTTCTGAAGTCATGCAAATCCAAATTTTAGGAAAATTACTATAGGAAATGATGGATTGGAGGTAGAAAAGTCTAGGGGCTACAGATGTAAACCAAGTAAGATAAAGTGCTGCTTTTTTTTAGACAGAGTCTTACTTTGTTGCCCTCAGTGTTCCATGGCATCACAGCTCACAGCAACCTCAAACTCTTGGGTCAAATGATCCTCTTGCCTCAGCCTTCCAAGTAGCTGGGACTAAAGGCACCTGCCACAACACCTAGCTATTCTTAGAGACAGGGTCTTTCTTTGAGTCAGGCTGGTCTCAAGCCTGCAAACTCAGGAAATCCACCCACCTTGGCCTCCCAGAGTGCTGTGCCACCACATCCCACCTACAATGCTGATTTTAAATATGGTGGAGATGGAGCAAAGTGGAAAAACCATACATCAAGACACTGTATCAGCACAACTTTGGAGAATTACAGGACTTGGAAACTGCCTGCTCTGACCCCAGGACTTTCAGAACTTCATTGAAAGGAGATTGGGACCAATGAGACAGATTAAGATCTGGTTGAAATCATGGAAGTATGTATTTTAAGGGTTGGAGGAGAAGGGAGGGAATACAAAGTAAGAAGAGCAGAGGCCTAAGAATGGATCCCTTGGGGGGGGGGGGCAATCCTATTGCCCTTCCTCTGGTTTCTGGAAAGCCCTAACCACCATCGTGACCCTCTGTGTGCATCCATACAAGCCTATCTCCATTTACTCTGCCACTGGGCTTCACGTCTATCCATGTTCCTAACCAAGCTGTGCTGCCCAGACTTTTCTATCATTAACATTAAGCATCATACAACAACACGTGGGAATGGCATTTACATAAAGGGAAAGATAAATCATGGTTTCATAATGAACACCATGATCTCAGTGGAGAACAGATAGGAGATTGCAGACAATAACTCGTGGCTAGAAGACAACAGTGATCCATGTCAGAAAAACAAGATTAAACT